AGGGCACCGAGCGGGACGCGGGGCACGCCTCTGGCGAGGGCCGGGCGGGGTTTGGGCCGGAGTTGCCATGGCAGCCGCTAGCCAGGGCGGGAGCCCCACGCCCGGCCGCCCGCCCGCCGCGAGGGAGCTGGGGCGCTCCGAGGTGTGCTCCAAGTGGACTGAACCAAGAGCACGCGAGCGCAGGGGAGGGCCGGGCCGGTGCCCCGTCCCCGCACCCCTCCCGCTGGCCGGCCGGGGCCAGGAGCCCCCCTGTGGTCCCGAGAAGAAGGCATTCTCTCCTCGGGGTGCCACAGGGGGCTCGCAGAAGCGCAGGGGTGGCACTGGAGAGAGGGCAGCGGAGGGACTGTCGCCTCTGTCCAGGAGTCCCGGTGTGCGCGTCTCTAGACTTGACATTTTATACCCCACAGCGGCCGGCAGAGCCGGGTAGCACGTCCCAGCCCTGAAGTTATGTAGGTGGGGCGGGCTTTAATTTGCTTATATCTAATGATTTCAGGAACCTCGCTTTAAAATGGCGGCATTCCGTATACAGCCCTGCTAAAGGCTCTCCCGGCCCAGGGGCCACCTCGCGCAGCGCTGCTTCTGCTTCTGCCGCTCGCAGATGGCTTGTGCCACTGTCGCTGCCGCTGCCCCTACCGCTGCCTCCGAGAGCAGGGCCCCTTAGCCGCTGGGTTTGCGCTAGCAGCATAAGGTAAGGCTGGAGAGGAGTTGGGGTTCGTGAGAGTGCCTGCCTTCCTAGGACGCCAGCGAAATGCGACGTCTTTTAAACTGTATTTTACAAATCGGGAAAAGAAAATTGATTCTGCAACTTTGTTGAGATTTTAGAGCTTTGATCCTCCCCTTTTCCCCCATCTTCCTTCCTTCTTCCTTTTTCTTTTTTTCTTCTTTATTAATTTAAAGGAACTTCTTGCATGACATATCATCAGCAAATGCTCTAACAACTCATTTCCCCATTTCCATGTGATGTGAGCAGTGGCGCAGCTGCCAGGCAGAACCGTGTCTCTTCCCGCCCTAGATCTCCACGTTTGGGCAGCTTGCTTTTACTACCTGTGTCTGAAGGGCAGGAGGGGGAATTTTGTGAGATTCAACAGCTGACTTTAGATTTAAGTGCACAGTTTGCTCTTATGGTTAAAAAAAAAAAAAAAGAATAAAATAAAGCCCAGGCGAATGATGAAAGCTGGCATTTAGGTGATTATGTAATTTTATAATGATTATGGTAGACCTACTGTGTGGTTTTCTGAATGCTTTATTGTTTGCTTGCTATACAGATACAATACATGAATTTATTGTCGGTCTGATTAAAGTAATGTATTTCGGAGGAGTTCTTGTCTCCCAGGTATTCTCAAGTTGCTATTTGTAAATTGGGCTCGGATCCCCCACAGCCTCTCCATATGCTTGTATGGAGTTCATGGAAAAGCATAGACTGAAACAAAACTACTGCAACATTTAATTTTGAAATCATTGCTAATTTTTCACAGTGTAGATTTCCTGAGCTAATCAGTAAGTTTTTGGATGGTTACTGATATAATGGTTGGAAAACAGATTGTTGATATAACTGTACAAATGAGTGTACATCAGTGCATGATACAGTTCATCCGAGTTTTTTTTTTCCCCATCTGATAAAAGGCATACTGACAATGAAGTTTACCAGAGACCCTGGATTTTTTTCCTGATTATATTCACATTTTCTCTTTTACCTGTACAAATTTAGTCTTTAAATACTTTTAAAAGTAATTAAAACAATTTTTTAATTTGCAATACTTCTGGGGGATGGTTTCATGTTTAGAAGACTTCTCCAAACACAGGTTAAGTAGGTTCTTACCCATAGCCCAACTAATATTCTGCCTCTGCACATTACTTACTTCTCCCAATGCCGTAGAAGCGATTTGTGTGGCAGTCATTCCTGCTACTAAGTTTAGCAAGTGTCTGTAAAGGGGAGAAAGAGATTATTAAAGCAAGGTGCAGTTGCCACTCAGGTGCTGTATTCTACCTACAAAGAACTAAACTGCTTATAATGGAATTCACTATATAATAAATTTCACATTGGCTTTTCAGATAATTGTCAACAGAAGAATATGGGGCAATGCTTCCCACCTGAAAGGGGAGTTCCTTCAGGCCAAGCAATAGATACTCACACTTTTGCAATGGGAGGGTGACCAAAAGCAGCTTGTCTTATTGGTAGTGATTACGCACCCAGATCCCAGTTCCAAAAGCGCTGTTTTTTGTTTCTGGATGTACTGACTTTTTGCTGAACAACTTGGACCCCATGCTTTCTTTTTACCTTGTTTCAAGTGAAAATAATGAAGCTTGAGGCCAGAACCAAAAAGGTAAATAGGTGTTGGAAACAATAGGAGGAAATTTTGGTAGTTACCATTCTGCCACCCTTACAGTGATGGGATTGGAGATCCTGTACGAAAACATAAATGGAGGATTTGTCATTAAAATATGGAGAAAGAATTGATAATTGTGCTAGACTACAGGTGATGATTGCGTGTTTTGCTCTACTTCTAAGAGCTGTTTTTTTTTTTTTTCTATTATATTCTTTGCTGCTTTTGGCACTTGTAATCACTCCCAGGACTATTATAAAATACCTATTTTTCCTTAACTGTCTACTTGATGCATTTCACAACAGCTGCATTTTAAGGGAGATAAAACCTATGATTATGAACTGGTAGCCAGAGTACATTTGGAATTACCTGGTGACCATTCTATACTTAAATAATGCTGTGCACAAAATAGGTGCTTAATAAACTTTGAGTTAAAAGGAAAAATGGACACTTTGCATGCTCACAGGAGAACAGATTTTGCGTACAACTGTTCATTTAAACAGAAGATTTTTTTGTGCACTTTGCAAAGACCTAAAATTTTGAGGTAGATTAGAATGTACTTTCCCTTAATTGCCTCTGTTCTTTTTGCCTCTGATGGGTCCTTTTGTCTGTCATTGTACTGCCAAGAACTCTTGTAAGTCATCTATTTACCAGTAGGTGTGTTATTTATTGCCTGGCCACCTTGACAATATAAAAAAGTAAAATACAACTTCGGAATAAACAAAGCTTTTGTCTTTTGAGTGGCTGTACAATGCTGCACATGCTGGGAACATCGGCCATCTCCAGATTGTCGTGCAAATGTTTACAACATAGTTTGAAGTACAATTTTGTCTTGCATGCAGCAGTCTTTACATGTGACAGAAGAGAGGAAGGAAAGAAGAAGTCCTAGCTTGATAAAGATTTTCATTCATAAAGTTTTACACTTATCCTCCTTATAGCACAATAAATTCAAGAAGGTGGCAGAATTTCTCTGTTTTGAAATAAGTGCTGCTGTCTGATTGGATTACAAACAGGGATTGGGACAGAGCAGAGAAGAATAAGTAACAATACATGTTTGACAAGTAATTTGATCCTGTAATTAAAGTTAGATAATGACCAGTGCCATGTTAAAAAGATAAAGTGTCTGAAAGAGATGTGGGTTCCACTTACCTTTGCCTTCATTAACATGCTTTTGTGCTGTCGAGTTTTCTTGTGACTGTCTATTAGATTGTACAGATGGATATCCTGCATTAAAAATGTGTACAATGTAAGAAAGTAGAAATCAGAAATTATCTTTCTTTATGAGATTTTTCTGCTTCTTTGTAGGTGTGATAAACCTTTCATGTCAAAAGTTGAACCTGAGCTTCAGGTAAAATAAAGTAGATATTTTCCCCTCTAAGAGAATGAACTATTTCTAGGTGTAAGTAGTTCAGTTGTCAACTAGCCGATGAACCAAAGAACACATTATGACTGTGGAAAAAGCAATTATATGTATATTAATGTGAGTTTTTAGTTGCAAAGGAAACCAAATGGTTGCATGCCATACTGTTCTTTCTGAGTGATTTTACGTTGCCTCAAGATAGCCAAATGACATTAGTGGAAAGATAACTTTGAAAATTAGGATAAATAATGCACAAATTACCTTATGAGAAATTAATGACATTCATAGTACCTGAACAGGATCAGAAAATTGCTTTTTTCATTTCATTCTAGTATATGCAGAGTATTAAGCCATCATTTTGTTCTACTTGGTATTAAATTGAGTGAGACATTTTGAAAAAATTGATGGGAAAAATAGTACCATCCAGCCAGGCGTAGTGGTACACGTGGAGTCCCAGCACTCAGGAGGCCTAGGCAGGAGGATCACTGCAAGTTCAAGGCCAGCCTAAGCTACAAAGTGAGTTCAAGGCAGCCTAAACTATATAGCAAGACCCTGCTTCAACATAACACAACAAAGCAAAACAAAACACAGCACAATTCAGGAAGTAGTACCTTATTTTAATTTGAGAAATAAAAGTATTTTGAAACTGTCTGGAAACACAAATGCACAGGTACACAAGTGTACAGATTAACAGTCAGTTTAGGACACTTTTTACAGCCATGCATTGGTTTCTTTCTAGGAGACTGGCAAATACCTATTTTCACAGCATTTCTCCAATTCTAAGAATGAAAAACAAAAGATTCATAATAAACTGTAGTAGATATTTGATGTAAGTGACGGCTCTCTGAAGAGCAGGAAAAGAGCCAGGACTGAGTGTTCAACTGCAGGCAGTTTTATCTTTCAGAAAAAAGATGCATTGCTCAGAACTGAAGAGGAAGGGAAAACAAAAGGATGTTTAATTTAAGAAATGTGTATGTGTGTGTGTGTGTGTGTGTGTGTGTGTTGTATGTATCTATGTAGACATATATTTCCTTTATATGTAATGGTGCTTTTCAAGAATTAAAGTAATTCCTAGATTAGGTTTTTTTAAACAGGGTTTTTATTTTTTTTTTGGAAGGGGGAGACTGTGTTGCCCAGCCTGGTCTGGAACTTCTGTGACTATGTTCTCCAACTTCTGGGATCAAAGGATTCTCCTATCTTAGTGTTCAGCGTAGCTGGGACTCCGAGCTTAAGCCACTGTGCCTGGCTTCCCAGAACTCTTTATAACAGCCATGAGAACAGTGTTAAGGAAAAAAGGAGGCTGATTAGTGATTTAAGACTCAATTAGTCATGCTTGTTAAAATATTATGTCCACTTTCAAGTCCTTCTTGCATCAGCATTGAGCAGGCTTCTGCGCAGCAGAAGGAGCGCCTTGTTTCTGATTTGGGGCCAGAGCTTGTTTTATGCCTGTACACTGGATGAACTTGAAGGTCCCAACTGAGAAAAAAGCAGGCTCCACAGAAGTGCAGGGGGTCGGCACTAGAGAATTCCAGGAGCCTATTTGATCTTAGATCATGAGAGCATCCTAGAGACTGAGAGTTCAGTGGATCTGGAGTTTCATTTTGGGTTATTCAGATTGGCTTCAAATTGTCCCCATCAGATTCTCTGAATTCTGAGCTTCTTGGCAGTGCCTGCAACTGGGATGGAAATTTAAGAAAGGTTGCTTTCAGCCCATTCAGATTTCTTTCAATGTACCAGTAACTCCTTAGTGGGAAGGTTACTAGGTCTCTTTACCTCGTATCTCCGATGCCTGCAGCTCTCAGTAGACATTTGGGTAAATGAAAGAGTAGCTTTAATTTTCCAATTTGTTCTTGCACTTTATGAACATTTTCCTGTGATTTCAGGTAATCATTATTTCTAATTTTTATTGGCCAAAACTCGCAGCAAACCGAGGGAACACTACGTTGAGCAGAGGGAACACTGCTACTCTCCTGGAGGCCTGAGTAATAATCAGGGACAAACGTG